CCAGGGGGGGGCGTCGTATCTGACCCGGGGGGGGGTCGCTACCCCCCCCCCCCTCCCGGCGGGGGAGGGATCAAAGGGAAGGGGCTTCCCTTCGACTCAATTACGAGGTTGCTCAAGGTCGGCTTGGCTGGAGCCCAGGGGAAGAGGTCTCCCAGGGAAAGGGAAGGACAGAGACGACGAGTACAAAGAATGACGGAGATGACGGCTCGAACGGAAAAGCCCCTCACACACGCCGACAGGGTCGGCGGATTTTAAAAATATTGGGGCCGCGTGCTTTTGCACGCAACTCAGCACGGCAGCTCTGTAGGACCGGCCCGTCTCCTTGTCGTCCGCCTCTCCCTTCTTGTCTCCTTCGTCTTACGAGCCCACTGGACAAAACCAGCGCTTGTGGTTTCTGACCGGGCAGGTTTACAAGAAATTGAGGTTTTACGGAGATATCCTCACAACATCGGTTTCGGATCGGAGGAGCTCTGAACCCACATCCTCTTGGAACTTCTCCTCGAGGGCTTCAGAATGGTACAACAGAACCCCAAAAGACTCTTCAGAGAACCCGAAGAGCGCCCCAAGAGGGCCCCGAGAGGCTCACAAAATACCTTGCGCAGGAATTGTATCGGCACTTCAGAGGTGAGGAACTGTGAATCATGACCTCCTCGCACAGATACAATACAGGGATAGAAACGATCAGAAAACAGAAGGCAGGAAAAGAAGTAGGCTGGATGAGCAGCAGCAGGAAAAGGTGGAGGAGAGAACGGCAACGCAGGAAGAGGAGGAGGAGCTTCGCCTCCTGTTTCAATGTAGGAAACCATGTTACCGTGCAACCGCTGGCGCTTAGTTTAAGAAGTCGAAGCCGCCGTCAGGCGGTGCGACACACCTGTCTACTTTCAGTGTTGACTGCTGATTGCAAAGCAGAGCCCTAAGGCCCTATCCTCGCCATGATCGATCTCTCAAGCTTGCACGGTAGCGAAGCGAGATTATGACAACGATGGCAGATACAGCAATATTTGCCTCTCGACAAGAATGTATTCAATAAAGCAGTGCCGATTTCGGATTCAAAACTATGTTATTCTACCACGTGCAGTCAAGGTGACCAAGAGGTCTTCAAAGCTGGCCTGCAGGCTAACCGTGACTCGATGATGATCTCTTTGAAGAGCAAGAACACAGGGTAACCAAGACGTGTACAACGAGCACGCGATGTCATGTATATGAGGATGTCTGGGGGGACTTAACGCAGCATTGCTGAGCATCATCAATCGCGAGAGTCAGCTCGAGGCAGATGCCACGTCAGCGATGATGCGAGCGGCCAGGAAGAACAGTCGAGGAAAAAGTGAACACCAATGTGATCCTCGCCAAATTTGTCAATTGTAGACCCATAACAAGCAAAACCATGAATGAATCGATGGCAATCTAACCACCGAGAAGCTTCAACGGAGACCAGACGACGTTTCGGGAATCGAACAACAAACTACCACATGAACTGGCACAACGTATCAATGGGAGTCGCAAGGCTTTCAAGCATCAGACTTCGACATTAGAAGCAATGAGTGGAGCTGTGCCAGACTCGAACGAGGAAGGCGACAACATGAGAAGGCTTGACGGAAGAACGGCGGCAACATATCACAACGAAGGATCAGCAGAAAGAAACGCGAAGAAGGCGACCGCGAATTTGCATGCGTTTTGGACGAGGATGACTATCGCAAGCCGGGCGAGGATGTATGATGCATCCTTATGAACAAGCGGGTGAGTCTACACGGCTTTAAATAAGGGGAATAACTAGTTGCTTACATGAAGATCTATATACAGTACTTTGCCGTTACAGGGTTAACATTACCGCCGAAGATGAGTTCAGCCATGAAACCCGACAGGCTTGGGAAGATAAGCGACACATCAGTCCAGCTCGAGAAGTGGAGTGCATTGGTGGAGAAGCTCGTGAATGACGGTGGTTCGCATGAGCTGCTTTTAGTTTTCAAGGCAAACGAAATATCATATGGTACAAGATCGGCGACATTGGCAGCGTGGCCAGGGGCTGCAGAGTCAAAGAGAAGCAAATGCAAGAGCAGAAGCAAATGGAAAGGATGCCCAGGCTGGCAACAGGTTACAGCAAGGGTGACTACGGCAACTACAAAAGAGTCGAGTGGCAATCAAGGCAACAAGGATATAAACCAGGCAGCAAGCGCTACGCGCCCATGAGCAAGCGCGCATCTTACAAGTTTGGACAACAGGGCCGCGCTGCAGCCAACTCCGCCAACGGGGCCAGCGAGGTTGGACAGGCCAGCAATGAAGAACGTATACTCTTGGGCAGTCTTTGCTGGAGATGGACCCAGGATGCTACGCCATTTCTCTCGGATTATCCAGTTCCGCCTGGAGCGCGCTGGGGAACGCCGAACAGGATGCAGGAGAAACTGGCACGCGAAAATCAACGGCGACAAATGTCAGACGATGACGTGCCAGAAATGTGGCCACTGCGAGGCCCTTGGGCGCGACGACAGCGCATGCGCAGGTAACCTCGGACTGGCTGAGGCAACTCGTGAGACAGAGGAAGCGAACGCAGTTCTCGAGGACAGTGCGGGCTCTAACTTGGAAGCCGCGGTGGTCACCGTCGACTCATGGGCCCTGAACGCAATCGGGCCGCCGGCCGCCGGGGCGCAGTTCCCGGCGAGACGGGCGGAGTCCTGGACGAAAAAAAACGGTCGCCACTGCGGCGCAGCTGACGGGGCCGCGATGAAGAGCCATAGGCGGCGAGGCAGCGAAGGGCAAAAACGAAGCAGGCGACGTGGCAGCGATGCTCACGCTGGGATCTGCACGCGAACGGTGGAGCCGGCAGCAACATTGCACTGGGCCGGGGTGTCCTCGGCAGAGCGCGCAGCTGCCTGGGGCATGGGCCACGGGCGGGAGGACGGCGATCCGCGCACGCAGCGGAGCCCTGCAATTCACCGTTCGGGCGCCCGAAAATCAAGGGGCCCTGGGACACACAAATAAATACACACAAAAAGATTCCCCCATACTTTCCCATATTTTCTGGGTTTCTGTCTTCCCCCCCACTTCCCATATTTTCTTATATTTTCTGAGGAATCGTCGATTAATTGTCTGTGTGTTTTTTTCCCTCCTGAGAAAAGAGTGTCCAGGCTGGCGCGGCAACTGGGCGAAGCGATCGATGGTGTGAATTTTCCGAGGCCGTTTTGGACGTTCCGACGGCTCGCGAGACCCGTCCAGGGGAGGGGGTCGGGGGAGAGGTAAGCCCCTCCCCGAAGGGGAAGAAGGAGGGGTGGAAGAGGAAACTCCCTAAGCCACCGACGCCCAGAGGGCTGGTGGGATTTCCCGAGGCAGGGGCTCCCTCGGGAGAGCTTCTTCCACTCGGCCCCGCAAGCCCCTGGGAACCAAGGGCAGACGTTCGCGGCGACCGTGGCGGGGGCGAGGGCCTCCGCGAGGGTGGAAGCGGCAGCGGAGGCGGCGCGGGCGAGGGCGAAGACGCGCCCCGAAGCGAAGAAGCCGAGCCCAGAGCGCGCGCGGCGACCCTCGCCCCAGCAACGCAGACGCGGAGGGCCGAGGCGTTAGCCATTTGCGACGCCGCAACTGGCGCCCCCATTGCGCGCGAGGCAAGGCCAAGAGAAGGGCGCGCAAAAGGAGGGGCATCACTGCGCATGTGCTTCCTTCCCGCTACATATGACTCAGCGCGGCCAAAGATCAGATGCTCGCGAGGCAAAAAAACAAAAGGGAAGGAAGTGAAGAACCAGAACTGGGCGATCCAGCGCCGGCAATGCGCTGTGGAAAGACGAAGCTGACACGGAGCAGAGTGGCAAGCAAGAGCGGAGTCGGCAGGTAGTCTGCGAGGTCCTCCGCTTCGACAGTACCAGGGGTCGGAATCTGTCCAGGAGGGGGATCGGCAGGCAACAGAGACATCGAGAGAGCGGCGAGAACAAGACAAGCTCAAGCCAGAGCCTTACAGAAAGCAGTAGACGCCGACGCAGTAGACGCAGTAGTCACCCGTTGCGCCGCCCCGTCGTTTACGCAATGCATATTGCTTTGTTCAGCCTTTCTTAACTCATGCAGTGTCTTCTGGGCGCAGTAACCTGCTTAGGAGTGACCAGACGGCGCACGAATCGGGACCTCATTTCGCCGCTCGCCAAACACTAGATGCATTGCCGCTTGTGCGCTGTCGAGTTAGCTCCAGCTTTCACCGGTGATGTGCTTATTTATATGGGGTTGCACGTGGCCGATCCGACGTGGACCACCATGTTGAGGGGCGCGCTTGAATGTAGGACGCCAAGTTACTATGCAACCGCTGGCGTTCGGCTCAAGAATAGTAACCGTCGTCAGGCGGTGCGACACACTTTTGCACTCAGCGCAGACGGTTTATTGCAACGCAGAGTCCCATCTTCGCCACGATCGTTTTGCTATCTTTGTATGTCCTCCTTTTTCCTCCTGCTCTCAGAGGCAGCCCGCATAGTAATGATGAACAACCTTCCCAGGGCTACCCTTGCATCCTTGCCTCCTCGGTCCATCCTTGGCCGCTCTCGCTGGCCGCGCCCCGCTCGCAACGTGTCGAAACGGCCTTCCAAGGCCCTTGCATCCGTATCGTGCATCCTTATGATACGGGTCGACTGTACAGTCAAAAACCCGAATAAGGACGCGCGACTTTGCTCAGGGTACCCTTGCGTCCTTGCTTTTCCTTGCTCTTGCGTCCTTGGGGTTTTGGTCGTCCGCCGCCCCCAAAATCCCAACTTCGGCTTCCAAGGGTCTTGCGTCCTTACCGCGCGTCCTTATTAGGGTTTTTGACTGTACCTCCTCGTGTTCCTGTTTCTCCTCCACCTTTCCCTTGCTTCTCCTCCACCTTTCCTTCCCCTTGTTTCTCCTCCACCTTCCCCTTCCCTTGTTTCTCCTCCACCTTTCCCTTGCTTCTCATCCGCCTTTCCCTTGCTTCTCCTCCGCCCTCTCCTCCACCTTTCCCTTGCTTCTCCTCCGCCTTTCCCTCCTCCGTCGCCCCGTCCCGCCCTGGCCGGCAGGTGCGCAGGCAGGGCGGGCCCTGCCTCCTGTACGGGCCCGCCGCAGCGCTGGCCGCGGCGATGCTGGCGGCGGAGGCCGCCCATCTCCCCCCGTTCCCTCCTTTCCGATAATGAAATGAGTTCTCCCTTCCTCCATTCTTCTTCGTACTCTTTTTATTACTGCTATTCATACACATGTGGTTACCATGTCCTTCTCATGTGCACTCGTATCTCTATTTTTCGCATGCTTGTGTTCATGATTATTTCCACGCACAGCGCGGTGCTCTTAATTCCCTACCTAGGCTCTGCCTAGAAGGGTTCTTACCCTGTGTGCTTAAAGGGGCCGGGCAGTGTAAACCGCCCCGGGCGGTTCCCCCGGCATCCGCCCCGCGGTTCCCCCAGTTACGTCCCCTTAGCTTGGTGTTGTTTATCTCATCTTAGCTTAGCCTAGCTTAACTTAGCTTAGCTCAGCTTAGCGCAGCGCAGCATTAGCATAGCATAGCATAGCATAGCATAGCATAGTGCAGCATAGTATAACGCAGCATAGCATAGCATAGCTTAGCTTAGCTTAGCATAGCATAGCGTAGCATAGCCCAGCCTAGCCTAGCCCAGCATAGCATTGCGCAGCATAGCATAGCAGAGCAGAGCAGAGCAGAGCATAGCTTAGCATTGCATAGCATAGCGCAGCACAGCATCCACTACGACGATGGGGAGAAGGAGGAGGACGGCGTTTACCGCTCCTACTAATGCTGCTTTCCTAGAGACTCCAACTCCTAGGTAGGGTCGCACTGGGATACTTAGATTATTACTATGTGGTTGCAATGCTAGTATCATTATTAATACGTTTAGTTTGCTCATTACTACGACTAATACGTTTATTTGTATTATGCTGTTATTTCTTCTGCTTAGTATCATTATTAGTGTTGCTATTCTTCTTTTCATTATTCTTCAGCCTGCCGCGAGCGAGCGCGAAGGGCAAACAGTCGAACCCGACATTTCGATGCGTGGGCCAAAGGGGTAAGCGAGAGAGAGAGAGGGAGACAACAACAACAACAACAACAACACCAACAACAACAACAACAACAACAACAAGCATGCCTGCTGTGACGTAATTGGATGATTGGTGGTTGGCGGGGCGATGGTCCTGAATGAGGTTATTTCTCGCATTCTGTCCCTCTCTAATTGTTGTGAAGGCCGTGCAACTGGTGCCGCCGACACTGCAGGCGGGACCTCCCCCAGGACCCCTGGTGGCGACCCCCCCGAGAGAAGTTGTCCCCCTGTCCTCCTTGTGCGCAGTGGGGGGCGGGCGAGGGGCCTTGAGCTCCCCCATGTTCCCCCCTGTCCGCAGGGGGACCCTCCCCTGTCCCCCCTGTCCACAGGGGTGCTGGGGAGGGGAGAGGGGGGAGGGGACATTGAGCTCCCTTTCCAAATGGGGGGGACCTCCCCTTGCACCCCCTCTTTACAAGGGGGACCTGGGGGAGGGAGGGGCCTGTAATCTGACCCGAACCCCCCCCCAGGAGCCCCCTCTCAAAGGGAAGACCCCCGCCTGTCTCCCTTGTCCACAAGGGGGACCAGGGACTTGGCATGAATCGGACGTGTGCATTTTTTCTCGGCGAGAACCATCGAGGACCATCCTGGGCCATCGAGCAAAAAAACACGCACGAAACCGAAAAATGCACGGGAAATGGACGTCCGAGCGATGGCGAGAGGGAGGGGAGAGGGGGGGCACTGACTCCCCCCTGTCCGTAGGAATGGGTGACCCTGTGTCTCCCCTCGTCCACGGGGGGGTGAAGGAGGGCGGCAATCTGACCTAGGACCCCCCCCGTACCCCCCCCTCCGTTACCCCTTCCCCTTGGCATCGCTCGGACGTGTGTATGTTTTGTCTCGGCGAGGACCCTTGGGGACCATCCTGGACCATCGAGCAAACAAACACGCACGAAACCGAAAAATGCACGGGAATTGGACGTCCGAGCGACGGCAAGCTTCCCCCCGTCAGGGAAGTGAAAAAGGGAAGGGCATCAATTTACTACGACGTTCCTACGTTCGTTCCCCAATTTCCTTTGAACTGGTGACGACGACGACGACGACGACGACGACGACGACGACGACAGCGTCTCACACGCCGAAGGGTCGGCGGATTTTGCCCATTCGTTTCCTGCTCTTCCACTGGTCCTCCGCCTTCATCTGCCTCATCCACACCATACTGCACCACGCAATGCCGCATCCTACAATTCCGCACTCATACTGCATGTTGCGCATCTATCTCGACGGTCCACCCAACTCTCCACCCAACCCTCCGAAGTCCAGCTGCACCGCTGCGCGGCTCCGCCGCCGCGCTCGGAGATATGGGCCAGGGAGTGGGCAGATCGCTTGACGTTTGATGGGGGCGTGGAGCTCAATACATGATACCACTCATTACGAACGTATGTTGTGACTCCATGTTTGATGCAACGGCTGGTGCCAGTCCAAATGTTCTAACGAATTTGGTACCTCTGTATGTAATCAAGGTTGTGTTGTGCTCTTTGAGGGATGGCGCCCTGCGGTGGCATTCAGAATACAGCTAGTTCTGGGTTGACATCTTCGAAGCGTCGGTGGATTTCTTGTTGGGGGTTGTGTGAGGGAGGTTGGGTAGTGTCCTAAGGGGCCCGCGGCGTCCCAAGGCTTCTGCAGAGATTATGCCAGGACCACTGTTGGTCCTGTGGGGATCTTGGGGGCTATCTTGGGCCGTGTTGGGACGGTATTGGATCCGTTCTCTGGTTTTCTATAGAGCTTGGTGTGGCGTCTGGAGGCTGTCCAGGACCACCCATACGCCCCCTTAACTAGCCTTGCGGGCGTCATGGGTCCATGTGGAACCATTTTGGGTCGAGGTATGGCGAATCTACAATCCAAACGCCAGCCATGTTCCTCAACAGTTCTTTATTTTCTTTCCTGCTATACAAGAGGTTTCGGGGGGGAGGCAGAGACCGTCTTGGGGCCATCTTAGGGCTCCCTTTAGATCTCTGGGGGGCTATCTTGGGGTCCTTTGACCTGTTGGGGCCGTTTTGGAGGGCCTGGGTGCCCGTCTGAGGGCATCGTGCGATCATCTTGCGGCTGTCCTGGAAGCGACTTGGGGCTGGCTTGGGGCCACACGGGCTCACATCTGCGGCGCCTGGGGCCGTCCTGGGGACTCGTGGGGGCCACTCGAGGTCGAAGGGGCGAGTCCGAAGTGACACGGAAGCCCCTCACCAGAACATCGCCAGCTCTTGCACCAGTGAGGCTCAGGCCGCGCCAGAATTCGTCTCTTCCCCAGACGCCAGGGCGTGCACGGGGCTGTCCTGCGGTCATCCCGAGGCTGTCCTGTGGTTGCCACGTGGTTGTCGTGAGGTTGTCCCGATGGTCGTCCCGATGGTTGTCCCGATGGTCGCCGCAAAGGTTGTCCTGATGGTTGTCATGGACGGCCGCGAACCGGTCGGTTCGGTTGCGTCGGTGTCGGTTAGAATCGATCGGTTCGGTCGGTTCGGTTGTTGCGGAGTCCCTGCGTCGTCGCGCCCTCTTCGGTTACTTCGGTTGATTCGGTTTCGCCGCGGGCGCCTCGCTGGCGCCTCGTGCCGGCCCAGGGGATCGAATCGGCCGCCGGTTTCCAGTTCGGTTTCGCTGCCCACGGATTCGCGCCGATCTGATTCCGCTTGGCCTTTCCCTTTGAAGAAAAAGGGAGGAGGAAGAGGAGGAGGAGGTGGAGGAGCAGGAGGAGGAGAGGAGCAGGAGGAGGAGGAGCAGGAGCAGGAGCAAGGAGGTTGGTTGGCTGATTGGCCGGATGCGCGCAGTGGCGCATCGTTGGCCGGATAAATCTTGCCCCGTGGCCAGGCTTCGAAAACGCTTCTTCCACGGGAATTCCGGAGGCTCCCCAGAGGCGCCGAAGGCCCCGCGGTGAGAGAAAACATTTTCTGGCCTCGAAAAATGTTTTTTCGGGTCGTGGGGGTTCCGGAGGCTCCATGGAGGCGCCGAAGGCTCCGGGGAGAGAAAAACAATTTTTCAGCCCCCGAAAAATGTTTTTCGGCTTCCGGGGCCTCTGGAGGCTCCCTGGAGGCGCCGAAGGCCCCGGGGGAGAGGAAAACAATTTTTTGGGTCTCGAAAAATGCTTTCAAGGCTTTCCGGAGCTCCAGAGGCTCCCTGGAGGCGCCGAAGGCCTTGGGGAGAGAAAAACAATTTTTCAGGCCTCGAAAAATGCTTTCGGGGGCTCTGGGGGCTCCCTGGAGGCGCCGAAGGCATCGGGGAGAGAAAAACAATTTTTCAAGCCTCGAAAAATGTTTTTTTCGGTTCCGGGGGGCTCCGGAGGCTCCCTGGAAGCGCCGAAAACCCGGGGAGAGAACAACAATTTTTCGGGCCCCGAAAAATGTTTTTTCGTCTGCCGGGGGCTCCGGAGCTCGAGAAATTGATTTTCGGGTCCTGGGGGTTTGGAAGTCTGCCGAGATTCAGACGTCCGCCGCTTCCGCCGCCCGTCTGGCCCGAGCTTCCCTCGAGAACCCGGCTTCCAGCGCGCTGCTTCTGGGAGCGCCCGACCGATGCCCAGGATGTCCCCCGCGCTCTTGCTCGCGATCCTCGCGGCCGCGCCCCCGGGCGCCAGCGCTTGCTACGCCGCCCGCGCCGCCAGCGTGGACGCCACCGGTGAGTTGCTGCAATGTAACGCTGGCGAGCCCAAGGACCTGTTCCAGGGCGACGACGCCGCCGAGGTGCCCGCCAAGCATCTGCAGGCCATGAAGCGTGTGAGGGGTGCGCCGTCGCGGGGAGCGAGAGCGCATGCTGGCTGCGCCACTGTGACCCTGCAGTTCGGTTTTCGCGTTCGGTCGGTTTCGGTCGGCTGATTCGGTTCTGCAGGCCCCCTTTCGGTTTCGATCGGTTTCGGTTTCGTCATCGGTTCGGTCGGCTCTCGGTTTCTCGGCAACTCGTGGCCGCCCATGGTTGTCCCGATTGCGGTCCCGACGCTGTCCAGATGGTTGTTTGGGTGATTTCCCTGGTGTTGTCCCAATGGTTGTGGTGATGTGTTCCCCGATGTGTGTGATCCTGCCTTGGCCAGGCTCAGATCGAGCCAGAATGGGTCGCGTGGAGCAGGGCGCGCG